CAAGAATTTTAGGTCTGTCTCTCTGTTTTAGATACATTATTTCCTTTTATCATGTCTAACAATGACAACAATTTTAGGTCTGTCTCTCTGTTTTAGATACATTATTTCCTTTTATCATGTCTAACAATGACAACAATTTTAGGTCTGTCTCTCTGTTTTAAATACATTATTTCCTTTTATCATATCTAACAATGACAATTATTTTAGGTCTGTCTCTGTTTTAGATACAATATTTCCTTTTATCATTTCTAACAATGACAATTATTTTAGGTCTGTCTCTCTGTTTTAAATACATTATTTCCTTTTATCATTTCTAACAATGACAATTATTTTAGGTCTGTCTCTCTGTTTTAGATACAATATTTCCTTTTATCATTTCTAACAATGACAATTATTTTAGGTCTGTCTCTCTGTTTTAAATACATTATTTCCTTTTATCATATCTAACAATGACAATTATTTTAGGTCTGTCTCTGTTTTAGATACATTATTTCCTTTTATCATTTCTGTCAAATCTGTTACTTGTAATTTATCAAACAGAACATTGTGAACAATTTTAATAATACAAAAATAAGGCACACTTGCTCTACTCTTGCTAAAACATACTAGAATTAATGCACAATACAAAAAATCAAATTAAGAATACATTATTTTATACTGTATTATAGTGCTTCTTCTTGAGCATTTTGTTTTAATCGTATCGTAAACACCAAGATAAAATGTAGCTTCTAAATTTACTGTATATTTAAAAGAAATAAAATCAGGAGCTAAATTAATCATTTCATATCAATTCTAAACCACTAACATTTTGATGAAAGAAGATTCTGGAAAAGGTTTTTTTTTCTTTGAACAATGCAATACAATTTAGTCTCTACTTGTTTAAAAAGATTTATTTTAATTTAGGATTTCTTTAAAACTACACTTTATCTAAATGTACTTTCTTCGTTATCCATAAATAATCTTTCAGAAGAAAAGAAAACAACAACAACAATGAAGCAAGTTGTACATATTTTATGATTTTTGAAATGGTTAATGTTTTGAAAATAGCTTACCCAAATCATTAATGAAAATAACTTCATTTGATCACATGATACATTAGCTGTGATTATATTATTTATCATATATAAATATATATATACCTTATTTTAAAGAATACTCTTTTCTTGTTTGAGCAATAATGTTCCTTCATAAGATGTTGGCATCTATACAAGAAAACACTACTCTTGATAAAAACAAAACACATTTGGTAATAAACTTAAAAACATACTGTAGAACAGTATATTACTTGATTCTCTTGTTCTTATAAGACAAAAAATATTATTTATCTCAGAAACATACATTTTAAAAGAAACATTTCAAAAAAAGCCACCATGACACTTTGGCCAGTAATACAACTGGTACCAACCAACCAACAAGCCAATTTCTTAAACTATCAACTGTTTTATTTCTTTCAATGTTATTTTCCACCATCAACAGTATATGGAAATTATAATGCAGTCACTAATTTGTTTTGAGTCAAAAAAATATTTTTGTTTTTAAAATACTCAAGTAAAAAGAAATTAATGATTGAAGATTTTACGATACGATTAACGGCTAAACATTTATGTCAACAATTAATCCGCATCCTAATTGTTATAGATATTTTAGACAATTACAAACAGAATCACCTTTACTGGATTGTGAGGTTAAAAGTTAACCTGTCATATTTCATCATTAAGTTTTCTATTTAATAACTACCTAGAAATTCCTAAACAACACAGATCCACAAAGATTACAAAACCTGGATTATATGTACTAATAAAAATATCTTGAGCAAAAGTAGAGATTGTATTTTTTTGGCAGTTTCATTTTTCAAGTCACAATGATAAAAAACTTAATCCTACTGTTGTAAAAAAACAAAACAGAGAGAGAGGTGACTAAAAATATAACTTATATCTCAAATAAAACTACAACACTGATGACAAACACGCTAATCTTTACTAAGATAGAAAATCTTCTTCCTCTAGGTGCTGTTTAGTAGGTGTTGAAAACACGCTTGGTTTCCAAAGGGAACGTGTGAAAAGGTTAGGATACTGAGAATGGTGGTGGGAAGGAGTCAATAACGGACTAGCTTCACACCTTTTCTTTCCTTCTTCCCGACTCGGAACGTTTTCAAAAAGAGCATTATCTCGAGTGAATGTCATATCAGAGTGAGGTTTGTTGTCTGCTTTATTAGCAGGATCAGATCCAGCAGACTTGGTTTGTATGGGAGAGTAGGAGGAGACTGTTATAACACAGCTGTCCATCAGATCAGCAGCAGGAGTGATCCTAAGTTTGCTCTTGGCAATCTCCTGACCACTTAAACTTGCAGTATGCTGAAGACTACCTGTCTGGTAACCAGTGTCTTGCAAGAGCTCAGAATTTGCGTTCTGTGTCAGACTAGCTATGTGAAGACTGTGTGGGGGACAGACCTCCAGGACTCCATCAGTGTCAGCATTCTCTTCTGTCAGTCTCTCCATGAAACACGTCTTTTCTTCACCAGTCAATCTACATGGAGGTTTTAAAGCGGGGGTTTCTGATATTAACATAGAAGATAACGCCACACTACTACTCATCATTTCACTCATTATGCTCATAGGTGTCCCATAACTATCAGAGGAGCTGCTACTGAGAGCAGTTCTGGCATCTTTACTCTTGGCACTAATTCTGGAGTCTTTATTCTGCTCTTCTATCAGTGGAAATAAATAATATTTGAAATTGTATAAATCTACATCATCTATTCTTTAAAACTTAAGATTAATAAAAACCTCATTATAATTTACCAGTTTATGTTTTTAAAAAGAACAAAGTTACCAGTTTGAAATTATATAAATATCACATGTTAATATTAACCCTTACGACGAGCCAAGCAGATATATCCACTTTGACATTTATAGCGATTTAATGTGAAAAAGGGATTTACCCCATGGCTTCACAAAAAGACTATAAAAGATCAGATTCCAAATTTCATTTTTTGGTGAATAATTGACAATTTTCAACAACCAGCCCGAAATATTTTACGTACCAAAAGGGTTAAACATCGGTATAAAATAGGTCATTTTTTTGTCAAATAATGTAATTATTTCTGAAGTCTTGTTAAATTACTGAGGTGATTGATTATTGAAACACTTTGTTCATTGTCTTTATCAATGACCTAGAATAATAATGGTTGGAGACGGCTTGAATGGGTAATAAAGAAAAACTTTAATATAAGTTTAACATAACAGCAAATGTAGAACGTTTCGACAAGGTTTTGTCATCATCATGTACAAGTAATTTACACTGACATGGAGATATATATACAGTATTGAACAAAGAAGTCACATGACCGGAACTGTTGTGAAACTTAGAAGAGGTATCTAGGCACCCCAGGGTGTTAGTTT